CAGTAACCACTGAGTTCCTTACTTCCTAAATCCCAGATTTTGTCCCCAAGTAGGATTTGCCTTATAGTTGGTAGCAGAGCCAGGTGCCAACCTCAGGGTCTTTCTTGCACCTTCAGCTCAGGAATGCCACTAAATCTGCAGTGGCCTAGGTGAACACTCCGTGGCTGGGTGAGGTCCCTGTCAACACATTGGAGCAAAGGTCTTACTGATGCAGTTTCATGGTCCTGCCTGGGGGAGCTGGCTGAGCGTCTGGGGCCCTTCCAGTTACACTCCTGTCAGCTGCCAGCATGACTCACTGGCTCCAAGTGTGTGTGTCTGAAATCTGGATGGGACACAAGCAAATACTTGTTCAACTGACTAAAGGGGTCAGGACTCAGAGCTGCCTCCGCAGGGGACTTAAATGAGAAGAGACAGCAAGAGAGCCAAGGGATGATCATGCCAAAAATTAGCAAAGTGGCGCCTGGAAGGAGACAGAAAACTGATGGAAATTTAAGTTGCTGCTCAGGCTCTTAGAGTTTGACTTTATTGGAAAAGCTTTTCACCTCCCTCACAGCTCTTTGTCTTGGGGTTGATGTTTAAAGGGGAAAAAACCCCAACAACTAAATAACAAAAAAACACATCCACTGCTGTCAAGTTGATTCTGATGGATTTTCTTGACTGTAGTTTTTATAGTGGGCCGCCAGACTTCTCTTCCAGTGTGCTGCTGGGTGGGTTTTGAAGTGCCAACCTTAAGCCCAGAAACCTCAGGGTTCAAGAAAGTTTATTTATTTAAGTATAGACAATAAATTGTAAAAAAAAGGCCACACTTGATGCAAAAAAATTCTACTGATTTTCTGGCAAAAGCAGCCCAGACCCTTTCATTTTAGGGTAGTAAAACCAACCTTCTTGTGGCTCAATTTCTATACAGGGTTGTCTAGGTGGTGGTAGCGGTGGTTGTGTGCTGTATAGGGTTTCCAAGGCTATAAATTTTTATGGGAAGAGAAAGTCTCATCTTTCTCCCTCAGATGGGGTGGTGGATTTGAACTGCTGAACTTGAGGTTAGCAGCCCAACTTGTAACTCACTACAATACTAGTCCTCCTTGGAGTCACCTAGGTCAGTGGCAAAACAGACCACATGTAGGAAGTGACTGCTCCTCCTGTTTCCCCCCAGCTCTCCTCCTTCTCATCTACCCTCCTCTTCCTTTCTAAAGAAACACTAGGATACCCTGAGGGGATCTGTCTGCCTCAGTCCAGCTTCTTGGTTAAAGTATTTTCCCAGCTTCTCCCATAAAACATGCTGCTGTTGTCGTTAAGTGCCAATGAGTCAGTTCTGATTCATAGCGACCCTGTATAGGGTTTCCAAGGAGTGGTTAGTAAGTTTGAACCGCTGACCTTGCGGTCAAGTGCTTATCCTACAGTGCCACACCAGGACTCATCGTTGCCCTCAATCTTTTTCCTTTAAGACCTTGATCTCTGCAATCAGAGCAGAGGAATTAAATTTCTTGGCTCTGGGTATGCAAAGGGGGTTTTCAGGGCAAGGCAGGTGGAGGTTCCAGAGAGTTTCAGAATAAGACATACACTCACCCCAGGTACAAAATATAAGCATCTTTTTTTATACAAATAGGGAATATGAGAGGTTCTTTGTATTCACTTGCTACTTTATGAGAAAGCAGCAATCTCTTTTAATATGAAATCATATCAACCAAATAAAACCTGTCAAAGCTACATCATTTAACGTATGTACAATTTCCAACACAATATAACAACCTTAGGAAAATAAAACATACTTTTCTATATGATACAAAACATGCATCTCAAAGTCATTGCTTTAAAAGAGCAACACAGGTGAAAGTCAATGATAAAATTAACTTCTTGGCAGTACTGCAGCTGGAATGAGATTTGTGGCATGATCAGTCTCATATGGATGTATTGGTCTTCATTAACATCTTCAACAAAAACAAAATCCATAAAGAAATGCTTTAAAAAAAAAAAAAAAAAGACCACTTCAAAGGGTTTAAAACATTGCAACTTAGTTTGTAAACTGAATAGCACCTATCACCAGATGATCTGTGCATAACCAAATTGGGGAGGTGGGGATATAGCAAAATGATGTAATAGGAGTGTTGTTGTTAAGTGCCATCAAGTCAATTCTGACTCATAGGGACCCCATATAGGGTTTCCAAGGAGCGGCTGGTGAGTTACCCTACAGCGCCACACCAGTACTCCTATTAAAACAACAACAAAAAATCATACAGATTGCTAAGACTAAAGGGAACATTATGAAGTCTGGCCAACTTTATGATTATTAAGCAGAATGAAGAGTTCTCAAGAGGTGTTTGTGAGGGAGAATTAGAGAAATGTGAACTGCTGGAAGACAAAGTAATAAGCCAACTGCTCTCTCTGCCAGTGTGGGACTGAGGGCAACTGCTCTGGCTGGGATGCTAGAGTCCCATGGGAGCTGTGTAGCACGAATGGATCCCAGCAAACACTAGACTTGCTCTATCCAGCGAACAACAGTATTTCTGAAAAGCAGTGTGTAACAATGGAAGAAATACAGATTAGAGCTCCAAATAAGTTGGGTTCAAATTCAGGCTCTGTGGCTCATTATGTGTGACTTGGTTATTTTAATGTCTACTTTGCAAATTTATTGTAAGAGTTAAATAAGATTAACAATAAGTTCCTACTTAGTACAGTGCCTGGTACACAGTAGTTGCCCAACAAATGTTGGTTCTATCTCCCACAACATTATACTACATCCTCTATTTCCTGCTCATGTAATAGTGGTGGTGTTGGTGGTGTGCCGTTGAGTCGGTTCCAACTCATGGTGACCCTGCATGGGGTTTCCAAGGAGCAGCTGGTGGGTTTGAACTGCCGGCCTTGGTGGTTTGCAGTCCAGTGCTGCTGCCATAGAGCCACACCAGGAGTCTATGTGACATTAGATAGGGCCATTTTTGATGACAGTGTGGGGTATAAATGTTTAGAACAATTCATTGGCTATGGAGAACTCATACCTTCTAAACAAATGGCATATATACATACATACACATATTTATGAATATGTATGTATAGATTTATATCTCAATATATAAAAGCACTTTTATAAATAAAATACAATAGAAGGATAACACTTAAAACAGCGTTACTAATAATATAAATAAAGCAGTCCACAATGAGGTTGTCCTAAAGGTAGCCTTCTCTTCCTAGTGGGCAAATCCCATACTCAAACTCAGTCTTTTAAAAGCAGTTTATGACCTAAGGCTCATGCTAATACCCCTATTTCCTGAATCAAAATGACTGGCTACAAACGTTTACTCCCATTTCCTAAAGCTTCCTTGTGACAGCATTGCTGTGACTTGATTGGCAAACACCGGGAATGTCTTCATGCTCTGTTCTTTGCTAGTCAGAGAAGAAGGTGTGCAGTTAGCCTCCTCCAAAGCTAATTACAGCAATGAATAAATCTAGTATACTACATGTACAGACATCTGGAATGCAGAATGTGCTTCTACAGCAACCCTAACATCCTTCTATGAACTCATACTCATTGTGCTCTACTGGAAGTAAACTCTTGCATAGTGACCCAGCTTAAACAACACATTTTCACAAACAGTTCTATTTATAAAATATGTAGGCATATGTAGGGGGATATTGATGCATTTATATAAGTCGATTAACATAGTATTCTATCCCACTGCAATTTCTAGATAATTATATATTTTTTCACTTCTGCTGAGACTGCTTGAGTCTCAGAGATCATTTTCTGTTCCTTTCCTGGATGCACAATCCTAAAAGGAGTAGTGGCCATTAAAGCTTGACTCAAGCCATTAAAACTCTGACGGTACTCTTTTCTTCTAAAAGTGGAGAAGAAAAGCCATACAGAGGTACCTGGAAATGTCCTGTCACTCACTCAGAGGCGGCAGGGACTGTGACTTAAGATGTCTGCTGAATAAGCTTTGGGTGCCTATCCACAAGAAAGGCATGCTGAAAAAATGTCAGGAAATTTCAAATCACTCATACCCCATTTTCTCTCCAAATTAAGTCTTATCTGGTACTCACATCTTTCAGGCTATTGTCCACACAGGAAGCTAGAAAATTACTATTTCCACTTCATACGGTATCAAGAGCCCAGTCCTATGCTAATGGAATAGACTAGAAAGGTTCTGCCAGGATAAGCTCTTTGGAACTTTCCCCTTTCTTCTTAAAATTACTGTTTTTTCTCAAGGTACCACTTTAAAATCTTATTTTGTTCCTATTCTTAGAGAGAGTCAGAAGGAGCCCGATGGTGACCATCTTATAAACTGATATAAGTAGTTGGATATACGTTTCCTCTTTGGCTTTGGTCCCCTTTCTGCATACTGCAATAATTCAACTAGACCCGAAACTCAGCCATATCCACAATACTGATTTTGATTAGAGACTGGAACATTGAGCCTAATTTATGCCCAGGTGCAGACAGAGGGGAAGTCAGTGGGTCACATGATCACTTTTGTTGAAGGCACTCTTAGAACATGCATAGGCCGGATCTATTATTATAAACATTAGGTTGCAAACTGTGGTTCATTTAAAAATATTCTCAAGAAAGTCTGGTAACACAATACTGAAAGACAACTTCCCATCTAAACACCTGACGGGTGGCCAACTTCAAACTGCCTCTGCAATCTCCTCTTAGCTGAATAGGCTGATAATTTGATTCCTTTGCATGAGTAGCTCTCACTGTCACTGAGTTTCTGGAAAACACAGAATGATTCCCTGCTTTCCATAGGATTGGAAATGATACAAAACAAGGTTGTTACTGTCTAATGAGGGGTGGTTGGGGAAGGAATAGAGAAGGACATTTTAAGGCATAAATAATATAAAAGACAAACATTTTAAGACACATTCATATGACACGCTACTACAAAAAAAATAAATAATGTTTTTTTTCCCCTCTGATTTGCATTAATGTCCTTCACACAGTCCATCACAGGCCAATTCTGTGCAGTTACTGGCTTCAAGGGGGAGCATGACTAGTCGTGTGCACATCCTCAGGCTTCCTGCGGCTGTTGGGAGACCTCTGAAGGGCTGTCCAAAGAAATGCCAGGAGGAGACCATTCTGTGTTTTCAGTACAGTCCTTTGAGTCAGGTGGTGAAAGAAGAGGATTACAACTTAAAGTTGTACTCTCTGTTTCTGAATGGACACAACTTTCTCCTGAAAAGCAAAAAAGTTTGGGAGCTTTATGAAATGAATAGGAGCTGATTTTAACAAAGTAATCTAAAATCATTACTTGGATCAATAAAGAAAGAATAATGAGCAAATGTAGAGCCTGGTTGTATTTGGGTTCATCTCGAGGGAGACAGTAGGTTTGAAAGGTTTTAAAGTTGAGCTCTTCTGAACAGTTATACAATTCATCTGAGAGTTAAAACAAAACAAACCTTAAAAGCCAAAACAACCACTGTAAAGAAAGACAACTATTCCCGACAATCTGGAAATATAAGATTATGCCTCACCTGTACCTCCGTTGAACTCTTCTGTATCTTTTGTACAACCAGAGTTGATCTCATTTCTAGTGTCTTGGCAGCAAGCATGCTGGGTAGGCATTGGTGCTACATTGTCCTTGACACTCTCCTCAGACAACTGGCTACAATCAGGCACTGTGGAAGTCAGACATTGAGGCATCTGCATGTGACTCAGTGGCTTCATTTCCAAACTATCCTGAGGATAAGGTGCAACCACTGGGACCACAGGGAGAGGGCTGCTGCTGAAAGTACTGTTGGCTTTGGTGAAACATCTACAAAGTTTAAACAAAAGGATACAGAATTGTGCTTAGAGGGAGCTTTCATTTTTAATTTTTAAAAAGTTTTTATTGTGGACTGAGTGATAGTTTACATGGGACAACATTGGCTTTACACCATCGTTTCATTGCAATGATTACAATCTCCTCCGTGTATCATCATGCAATAGTATTTGCTTCCATTCTCTCTCTCTCTCTTTTTTTTGGTGGGGGGAGGGGGAAGGAAATATACACAAAAACACTGAGGAATATATAATAATTTAAACAACCAAAGAGCATATTCTGCAAGTCTGTCTCCTGGCTGCCAGCACCCAGTCCTACAGGGATCTTTATATTAAAAGTTTAATTTGGAATATCATTTGGTATTTTACATTCAGATTCTTAAGAAAGATTGATATTTAAAAATGAAATGGTTCACTATGATTTGAAATATAAAGAACTCAAAAACTAAATTAACATGGAACACAACAGAACGCAGCAAAAGGCAAACCACTTAAGAATGGAACCATTCTTTGTATTAGTCTATTGTTGAAAGTTGTTCCCCATTTCAGAATTAACTGGCTCTCATTTAGAGCACACACTGGAAAGAAAGAGGAAGAAGGGGACAGAAAGCTAAGACACTTGTGGCCAAAGGAGAGGAATGATCTCCTGAAAGCTACGCTCCCTCCTCACACCTTTGCAGGAAATGTCACAAGGATTAGACAGTCAAAATCCAGGCTTTCTTCATTTTTCAATTTTTTTCTTTGCAGAATCAATTGCTAGAATTCATTACCACTGAGCATCCATTTTGATTCTTCCATTTAATTTCCTTCCTTCACCTAAGTTATGTATTTTGTCCATTTTTTTTTTCTTTCTGTTCAGAATGGGTAATTTTTATTGATCTATCTAATTTATTGATTCTTTATTCTTTTGTATCCAACCTGCTGGTAATTCCATCCAATACAACTTCCATTATATAGTTATTGTACTTTTAATCTCTGGCGTTTCCATCTGGACTTATTTTTATAGATTTTATTCATCAGCTGAAATTCCCCATATGTTCATTCTTTAAGTCCTTGTTGTTGTTGTTAGGTGCCATCGGGTTGGTACCGACTCATAGCGACCCTATGCACAGCTGAACGACACACTGCCCAATCCTGGGCTAACCGCACTATCGTTGCCACACTTGAGCCCACTGATGCTGCCACTTTGCCAATCCATCTCACTGGGGGTCTTCCTCTTTTTCTCTGATCCTCCACCCTAACAAACATGATATCCTTCTCCAGTGACTGTTCCCTCCTGACAATATGTCCGAAGTAAGAGAGACAAAGTTTGGCCAACCTGGCCTCCAAGGAGCACTCTAGCTGCACTTCTTCCAACACGGATCTATTGGTTCTTTTGGCAGCCCATGGCACTTTCAATACTCTCCTCCAACACCACAACTCAAAAGCATCAATTCTTCTACGGTCTTCCTTATTCATTGTCCAGCTTTCACATGCATATACGGTTATTGAAAATACCATGGCTTGAGTCAGGCACACCTTAGTCTTCAAGCTGACATCTTTGCTCTTCAACACTTTAAAAAGGTCTTGTGCAGCAGACCTTTGATTTCTTGACTGCTGCTTTTGACAACTTCAATCTTTTCTCTGTTGATAAGAATGTTGCTTATTGGTCCAGTGGTGAGGATTTTTGTTTTCTTTACATTGAGATGCAATCCTTGAACATATTTATATTAACTGCTTTAAAGTTACTGTCTGATGATTGTGACATCTAGGACATTTCAGGGTCCATTTCTACTGATTTTTCTCTTTTAATTGCCACATTTTCCTCTTCTTCACAAGTCAAGCAATTTTATAAGATTTTTCTCCTAATTTCCTGATTGTTCTAAGGGTCTCAAACGCAGCCCTCTGACACTAACCTGAGTCCTTCCCCAAGACTGGAGAATGCCTTCATGCAAAGACCCAGTGACTCACAAATCTCACCTATTGCCTATTTAAGTTTCTTGAAACTGGGCTCCCATTCAGTTTCTCCCTGCTTCTGGTTATTCTTGAACACTTCCAGAATGACCAGATTTTATAATTCTCTGTAGGCAATCAAGCTAGTCCACCAGAATCAGAAGCCAGAACATCATGAAAATGTTTTCTGTTTCTAAATTCAGAAGTAAAAAAGTCTGGAGATGACACTGCATGCTTCTTTATTTGGGCATGTTAGATAGGAACTGGGTAACAAATCAGTGGTATATTAGAACCAGATAAGGTTAGGAAATAAGGTAAGAATTCTCTGGGTTTTCATCCTTTAAATATGGGATGCTAGTTCTGTGGTACATGAAAATAAGCTAAAAGGAAATCTATGCAATCTGTTATTAGTACTTTTGTGGTTTTACACTATGGGAAATACCCAATGCTAAGCATGAAGCAAGATCTGAACTTGAAAGAGAATAAGGTATCTATCAGTTTATCAGTAAACTAAGTCCTTACTTTAAATAACTCCAACTTTAATTTCATATAGAGAAACATACTTCTTGTTGTTAAGTGCCGTTGAGTTGGTTCTAACTCACAGCGACCTCCATAGGGTTTCTGAGGAGTGCTTGGTGGGTTTAAACCACTGACCCTGCAATTCAAGCTTACCTGTGGCCCAGTGCTTAACCTACAGCACCACACCACGTTTACCATACAATAATGGAATACATACACCAGTTATCCGAAATGAAAGTATGTTAAGTATTCATTTATAAAGAATATATTGAGTACAGTATTATCTAGCATGTCTGTAAGTTTTAACTTCTAATACTATAGTGGACTCCTGGTGTGGCACTGTAGAATAAAAACACTAGACTGGGAACAAGGTCAAAACCCACCAGGCACTCCTCGGGAGCCCTTTACAAGGTCACTGTGAATCAAAATTGCCTCAACAGTATCTAACAACAACATTATAGAAAAATCCATACAGATTTAAAGAGGACCTAAGTCCTGACAACAAAAGTGAAGGAAGCGTGGGCATAGAGGAAACTGCTGCATATCTTATTCAGTCCATAACTGTAAGAAAAATGGTCAGGATGCTGGCAAGGGTGAGCATTAATCTCTGATGGCCATTTGTAAATGTTCATTTTATTAGTCTCTTCCTTTACTGTATGCTTTGCCATGAGTCTTTCCCACTCTCTCAATACCCAGGGAATCAAAAAAATTCTCTTAAATATATTCAATACATTGGAGTCCATAGGTTCCAAAATATGGAGCAAGATCAGGGGTAAAATATTCTGAATTTGACTACTACTAAGAAGTTAATGGATATTATCCATCTTTATGAATAACCTTTCCCAGAAGATCCTCTTATCCAAAAAAAGCACTTACTGAAATATTAAGGTAAATACAGCAGAGTTTCATCTCCCAGTCTAGCAGAGAAAATGAACCAGTAAAATAGATGGTTAAAGTACATCATAGTATCATATAAGGGAATCTATCTATCTATCTATCTATCTATCTATCTATCTATCTATCTATCTATCTATACACACACACACACACACACACACACACCCCTATAAAACACTGGAAGCACTTACTTAACTTTCAGATATTGGCAGATGACAATAGGATGCTCCCCATGCTCCAACTAGAAAATTGGATATTTTTTCCCATACTGTTTCAGACTCAGTGGTCTCATATTTGGAGAAATTACAGTGGATAGGAATTAAAGAATTAAAGAGTAAAAGCGACTCTGATTTCAGAAAAATCAGAAACATATTGAAGTTCTCTCACAGCCTGGGAAATGCTGAAAGTACTATTTATTTGAATCTTATTACAGTCACAATGGTCAGCACCAGAGTATCTGGTACAAGACATGGCAATAACAACAAAAAAACTGAATTAACCAATAATAAAATTAGAACATTACACACACACACTGATGTTATAAAGATAAACATGGACTGCAAGATTGGTTTGAGCCACAGGCTGGCAGTTCAAACTCACCAGCTGCTCCTCGAAAACACTATATACAGGGTCACTATGAGTCAGAAACAACTTGATGACACCTAACAACAATAGTAAATATTATAGCAAGTAAATAATTAAGTCAAATTATTTTTAGTTCAACCCCTGATGTGTTCATGTACCAACATACATTGTCTTTACCAGGGATTACACATAGCTTGTGAAAGCAATTATTTTATTGATAATGCTTTAATTGAAATTTGAGACAGACAATTGTCTGATTATAAAAACGGAATCTACCAGTAGTGAAAGAGAGAAAGAGGATAAATATGTGACATTCAATAAGATGCCGTTACAATGTATATTTTATAGCTTATACAAAAACAAATGGTTTTATCTGATTATACAACTAAATATTTGCTAAGTGTAAGTTTGTATAAAATTACCCTAATTAGATGGTTATAAGTTTTTTGTACAACATTTCCTCATTGATCATCCCTGGAGGCAAAGGACAATTTATCTATGAATCTCTTGTGTGTGATACATATTTTCATTGAT